GAACAAAGATAAATACCTTTCAACATTCTGTATAGTAATAAATGTACTTTTTTTTCCTTTTTGTTTGATCCTATAACTACCACCTGTCAAAAACACAATGCCGAAATAATTTTTCCCCCATAGGTAAGAAAAAAAATTTTGAGTAAATTATCAGAAGAAACTAAATTAGTCCTCACAAAACTCCATAGCTCCTTGAATGAAAAGGTAAGTAAAGTTTGATTCTATGTAGATATATATTGGAGCTAGCATTTGTGATCTTTGAGTAGATTTTTATAAAAAATAATGGTGAATTAAGTCTGAAACTAGTATTCTGCATTCAGATACCTTTTTGGGAGGTGAAGGGCAAGACCAAGCTAGGGGCGATTTACCCTCTTTAAAGTGCTAAATCACAATTTCACATTTAATGACAAAATAACCTTTTTTAAAAATTGTATTTAGGGTGTAAAATTATAAAACAGCATTAAATGGCTGTATTTTCTTTAGGCAACTTTGTATTATAAAGTTAATTGTGGTATTTAACACCTTTTCAGAGCATAGAAGACTTTCTTTCTTGTCTGGATTCTGCAGCAGAAACTTGTGATATTATGGTGAAAAGAGGAGACAAAAAAAGGGAAAGGTAACACTGAGTTAATCTATCTTATTAATAAACTAGAGTCCTGGTGCACAAATTTGTGCACAGGTGGGGTCCCTCTGGGTGGCCTGTGGGGATCAGGCCGAAACCGGCTCTCTGACATCCCCCAAGGGGTCCCGGATTGCAAGAGGGTGCAGGCCAGGCCAAGGGACCTTACTAGTGCACGATCGGGGCCGGGGAGAGGCCATGGGAGGGCTCCAGAGTGTATCCGGCCCCGTCTCACCCAGTCCCAATCGGCCAGACCCCAGCAGCAAGCTAACCTATCGGTTGGAGCGTCTGCCCCCTGGTGGTCAGTGCACATCATAGCCACTGGTCGACCGGTTGACTGTCTGCCCCCTGGTGGTCAGTGCACATCATAGCAGCTGGTCGACCGGTCGACCATCTGCCCCCTATTGCGCTTTGATTGGTTGAACAGTTGACTGGTCAACAAATGACCGGACACTTAGCATATTAGGCCTTTATTATATAGGATTCTGGTCAACAAATGACCGGACACTTAGCATATTAGGCCTTTATTATATAGGATTCTTAGATGTGTTATATCTGAAATTGGAATTTGACTATCTGAATCTTGCATTGAGAACTGTTGTGTCTAAATTGTTGTATACCTTGAAGCATTTTGGTCTTAATAAAATTCAGTTTTCCTCTCTGACTCATCTTGATAAGGTAGCAGAATTGTCTAATCCCATAGTTGATCAAGCCTGGCAACTTTTTATTAGCTTTGTGACTTTCTTTACAGGAAACCTGTTTAAATCAGGGCTCTTCTGTTTGATCCTCTACACTCAAAAGGCATACTTTGAATATCCCTGCTATATTGTTTTTTTTCTATCTTTTTCTAGCACATTAATTTATTCATGCCTTTTAGAATTATGAGTATCTGAAACATATTTAAAAGGTCCCTTAAAATATTTATTTAACTAGATAATTAAACTAAAGAAGTTAAAAATGAATACAGAAGGGAAGAACTGAAATTGGTGAGAATTTGTGTGTTTTTGTTTTTGTTTAGGCAGATTCTATTCCAGCATCGACAAGCACTGGCTGAACAGCTAAAAGTCACAGAAGACCCTGCTCTTATCTTGCACCTCACATCAGTCCTGTTGTTTCAGTCCTCAACCCACAGCATGCTCCATGCACCTGGAAGATGTGTCCCACAGATCATCGCTCTTCTTAAGAGTAAAATTCCACAGGTATTACATTTTCCATGCACTTGGAACTATTAAAGCTTTTAGTTGCAAATATTTTTAATGGATAGATGTGAATCATTGTGAACACCAAGACATATAACATCATCTTCCTGTTTCCACAAATGCAAACAATGAATTAGGAGATTGATTTTAAGGATACTCTTTTAGGATCCTATCTGATCCATGGTAAAGAATATTCTGAATTTGAAAATTAAGCTTTTGGAAAAGACATAATAATGTTCAGTCTTTCATTTCAGCTTATTCAGGTTTAACCTGCCCTTCAAGGGCCCCTTAAAATTCTTCATAAATTCTGCATAAATTCTTCTGAGAAACTCTTCAACTAAAAGTAACTTTGGCTTCTTTGAACTTCCATATCACTTTGACTATATCTTTGGTGATAGAACCGAGCCAAATCAACTATTAAAATAACCTGCATTCGTGTTTTCTGTCTCCTAAAATGTAAACTCCTTGAGAGCAAGGACCTTGGTACATTCAGCTTTCTATCTACATGGCCAGGGATTTGTAAAGATGAAGACCTTCAGTGTGTATTGGTTGAACAAATCCTACTTTGTTCCACAAAAATTAAATCATGTTCGTTAGCTTTTCTTCTCCTTTCTCTGTTCACAGGACCAGCATACACTTTTGGTAAAGTATCAAGGATTGGTTGTAAAGCATTTAGTTCATCAAAATAAGAAGACTGGGCAGGAAGAGGATCCCTTGAGTAATGAATTAGACAATGAAGAAGAAGATAGCACCAGTAGTACTCGGAAAGAGCTTCAAGAACTTTCTTCATCCATTAAAGACCTTGTTCTCAAATCCAGGAAATCATCTATGACAGAAGAGTAATGAACTTAATTTACTTTTGCCATGTAGTAAGTGTTTTTCCCCAAAGTTATTGCTGAGTTATAAGTAATGTTTATTTCACAATCTCCAATCTCCCATTAGCCCACAATTTAGTTAAAACAGTACTGTTGTATTCATTGTAAATTTTATAAAAATGTGAATTTTTGTAAATTGAGTTATCCATAGAAGATTTCTTTAGACATTATAATTCTAAAAATTATACATTTATTTTCTTTCCGTGTACTGAATGAAGAATAAATTTTCTGATGTCTTTCATTTCTAGGAAAGGGCTCATTTGTTGTGTTATATTTCTAGTGACATCATCATATTTTTACATTATAGGCAAAAATTTAAAATGTGGTCATGTTTTTTTAAAAAGAAAAATATCCCTCTGCTGTCAAAAATGAAAATTGTGTATTTTATTTTAAAGTCAATATAAAATGCTTCAAAAATAACATACAGAAATTTGCAAAATTTTTTTTTATTGCTGAGCCCTTGCTCTTATTTCTGGCAGATAGAGGTTCTTCCTCTTCCCACAGGAGTGAACGATTATGCGGTTGGAATGGTTAGGGATGCTTTTACAGCAGAAGAACATCTGAGTGACCCATGCGTTCCTGTGTTCTATTCTAAAACAAGATGCTAACAAAAGTAAGAAAGAATAAAATTTGCTGCTAATAGGTATGTCATAATTTACCAATGGAATAACTAAAAGTGTTATGCAAACATCTTTTCCATTTGGCATTAATCCATTTTGCATTTCTAAATGTCATTTCTTTAATCAGTAGTCACTCTGGCAACTAATGCTTTGTTGTGGAGAGATTTCTAAGTGTATTTACATCATTGCAAGCTTTTTAAAAAATAAAAATAAAAACCCTTATAAAGAAGTAGGTATTCTTGTTTTTCTAAAGATTATTAGTAGTTAAAACTAATTAAATTAATCAAGCTAATTAAAACTAAAATAGTTCCTTGGAGTAATTAATCTAAGAAACAATTTGTTATATATCAAAAGGAATTTATTTTGAATATAATAGTAAATTAAATCTCAAATATTAAAAAATACTGTTGTATATAATTCCTTGTGTGGCATTTAAAACTCTATGTTTTAAAATGTTTGAATACAAAGATCAGTCTGCCTACCTCTAATTCTAGACGAAGTGTTAGTAACTGAGTAAAAGGAATTATATATTTACAGACTATTATTAAAGTTGATAGGAATGTAATGTAAATTTTAAAATGTTTTTCCATTGGCATTTTTTTATTAATGTATTTTCAGAAAAATGAAAATCCTCTCACCACAAACTCCAGTTAGTTTTATGTGCTTATTCGGCTTTCAAAATATTGAGCACCCAACAAAATTTTTTATTCAGTCTTTGCTTACGAACTTTATCATTTATGTTTCAGCAGATACCAAAGTAATCTTTGTTTTTGTCAAACTAGAGAATAGTTTGTGAAAATAGAATACCTTAATTTTTGAAAATAAAAGATAAAATGAAGCAAATAAAAAAATTATTCTTATTTTGTTGGCATTAAATATTTTTCATTTTTCAAAATAGTTCTTATTTTTTCATAGTAAATAAGAACAGCTTTGTTTTTGTAAATAAATTATATGGCTGATTTTTAATGTAAAAATCTAATTTGTTAATAAAATTAAATTGTTAAATGTTTATCTACTATGATCTTTATGGGAATTTAAGAATCTTATTTAAAATAAAGTTGCCTGTTGTTTCTATTAAATATGGTATTTTGAAGCTTCTAATATTTTCAGTATTACTAGTTTAATTAATGCATATATTATATGTACATTTTTAATTATTATTCTGAACATTTTAAAAGTAGTTTACTATATTCCTCTTATATAAAAATAGTTTCATAGTCCTCAGTGTCCTTCATTCCTTGAAACTTTGCCATTCATGAACCATTTTACCTTAGTAAGCCTTTTCATGGAGCTAGATTTCAGCATCAGACTAACAAGTGGGGAGAAGATGAAGGGGTTTATCTGGGACTGAGTTTGACAAAGATGTCCAATAGATAACAGGATACAGGCCTAGAATCTTTGAGAGGTAACAGTTGAGAACAGAGAGTAATAACAGTTTGGGAGTCATAATACATAATTGTTTGTTGTTGTCGCAACCCATGGAGGGTGTACAAAGAAGCATTCTGAACTGAGGTTGAAGCTCTGGGCAATGATGAGGTGAATAAAGGGGGAGGAGCCTGAGTAAGAGCTAGGAGGAAATAAAAAAACATATAACTTAGTAAACCAAAGGAAGAGAATTTCAAAAAGAAACATAGCCAGAGATGAGAAATTTCTGGCAAGATGAAAAACTGCTCTTTGGGGTGTTAATATCATTTATGAGCTTAATGAAGCATTTTTTTGTGAAGTGGTTCAATTGGAAGATAGATTGCAATAGCTTGAGGAGCAACAGGAAGATCAGAAGTTGAATCAATGAATGTAGATTACCCTCTCAGGAAGCATAGTGTAAACAAAGACAGTAATGGCCCCATAACTAGATGGGAACTTAGGCATTTTTTATATCCCAGACTCCACTTCCTCATTTATGAAAGGAGAAAAATAATGCCTGGTTAGTAGTATCATGAGGATTAAAATCTATTACTAATTGAATGCTCTTGTGTCCTTTCCCTAGCTCAAGTTTTTTTTAATTTTTTTTTTTTTGTACATACCTGAGTTTGACCTCAGGAAATATTAACATCATTCCTTTAGCACTTAGAACAAGGACAGTTTAAGTTTGGTCTGGGAATAAATGTAATTAAGGCAGAATATTTCTTACCCCACCTTGCAAACCAAAGAAATGGCCTCCACTGGAGATTCTAGGAGCAAATGCCACTTGCTTTGTGAGTCAGTTTGACCCACTAAGAATTCCTGTTATGGATTACTTCAATATTCAAACATTTCTTTAAATTCAGTTCTTGAAATTTCTTGCCACTTTTCGTGTTTTGAATTGAAGATTTCAAAAAGCCAAATGAGCCTGTGCTTAAATGGACATGACATAACAATCGCTGCCAGCTCATAGGGACGTAGGCAGAAACAGTGAAAGCTCAGTCCACGCTGCAGGTGCAGGAAGCAGGTAACAACCTTGAGTTACTCTATCAAATTCAAGGCTTGGAGTTCCCAGATTTCCCAAGAAGACAGTGATAGAGGCCACAACGAAAGGCTCATCTCAAGTTACCAACTCTTCAGGTAAGAACAAGAAAGCTCTGTGGTTCAGCCATTTCTAATGTAAAACAAGGGTTCTGTTAGTCATCAGGAAAGAGAACCAACAAAACAGATTAATCAAAGAAACAGAAAATACATTATCCTTTCAGAAATTTTTAAAATGTGAATGTGCCCTTAATTTAGCCTAGGCAGTGAGAATTTCTTGAGTGTGTGTGCGGTTTGTAACTTAAACTTTTTGGAGCTTATCCAGATCCTACTTCACATACGAATCCAGGATTGCCCTTTAAGGATGTCCTGCACAGAACTTGTTACTCGTAATTTTAAGTAAAAATTGACAAGGAATGCTTTTGCAGCCCAGTAGGAGTCAGCTATGTGCACGTCACCAGACTTGGAGGAAACCCATTTAACCCTCCTATTTTCTTCTACAAAGTTGAAAAAGCTGCAGTTGGGAGGGACACTCAGATAGCTCTGGTGGCTCGTTCTGTTCCTTTTGGAGTTGACCTATGAATGCGCTGGAAGAAAAACAATCATCTTATTGTCTCCTTTCATACTGTTTAAATTACAGGAAGAAGCAGCTTTAAGAGAAAGTAAGTTTTGTTTTCTTTCCCTTAATGTTTCCTAGATGTTTTTTATGTGGTGTTTTGGCTTCTTAAGTACAAGAAATTCCTATAAACTTTCTAGTGACTGCATAAGAGAAAACTTATACTTGGCAGATAAGTATAGATCTTGAAGTTTCTTAGAAACTTTTTAAAAGCCATTTGAGCCTACAGTTATCAAACTTTATATGCTGAGCTGTTCAGATTTCTCATTTTGATGATATGCATGTGGAAGCAACATAGTGTCCAGCTAACTCTTTGGAGCTGCCTCCTGAGTTCTGAAAATAGTCTTTATTCACGAGGCATAGTTTCATTGTCATAAAGGGGTGGCGGGTTTCATTTGACTTCATTTATTTGAATGACTAATTTTATCACTGAGGTTTATGGTGGATTTATATGTCCAGAGCACACTTTGAAGTCCTTTACATATTTTAAGTGCGATTCCTATTTTCAAGAAAAATCTGCCTACTTTCCAGTAACAGGCATAGAGACGATTCCTAATTTTAGGTGTTCTAAGATTAAATTAAAATGTCTGTGTGTCTAGCCCACACATATATAATATGCTTCATGTATCTAAAGCATTGCTTCTTGAAACTGAGATAGCGTTACTTAAGCAAAAGCATGTATCCCGTGTTTATGCTTCCTCCACTATTTTAGTCAGACCCTCTTTCATGTCTGTCATCCATTTGAAAACCAAATGCAGCTTCTCAGTTGTCAATTTGGGTTTCAGGATTGTGAAAACTAAAAGAAAAAAAAAGTCATTAATAAAATGCATAATTCTCATAAGTAAAATGTGTAAGAAAACCCTTAAGTCATTTTAGCCTTCATTTCACATCCATAATATGGCATTCTAGCATTTTTATTAGCAAAGTATATGGATTAAAATACAACACAAATATTGCAAACATATGTCATACAAGAGAGTTCTTAACATATTTATTGTGATTTATGCCTAAATCCAGAATCCAAATTGCTTGATGGAAAAGGTAAACGCTGATGTCTGTTTTCTACACTTGCTCTATTTATTCCCACATGTTATCATTAGTTGCCAATTCTGGGGCCGTTCTACCTAAACAAGAGCAGAGACTTGTGCTTTAATGTAACATCACCTCACTGACAAGTTTACTTCTTATTTTTATTATACTTGCCAACAACATTTTGAGTAAAGCTGGATTAATTTGGGTTCCTTAGACAAGCCCAGTAACTTTCTACTATATAATATTGAAAATAAATGGTTTTCTAGAATATGTTAGAGAAACCTTGATTTGTTTTCAATCTAGGAAACATGATCTCTTTAAAATTGAAAACCAAATACTTGGGTTCACATGGGAAGCTCTGAGTCAGATGTCAGTTAAACAATCTTGCATTTCCATGTTCTTGTAAATTGTCTTTTTCCTGTCTGATTGTCATCATTTTTCTGTACCTTTTGGTACCCTGAGAGGGCTGGAGGAGGGGAAGAGGGGAGAGGGAGGAAACCTCTTCCTGCCATAATACCTTGAATCCCTCCAAAATGATCAGCTTGAGCATTTTATCTACCCCCACATCTTTGGGATTATAGATCTCAATAGGATCAATGGACCCTCTTCTCAGAAAAGTCCATTGCAAATAGATATTTCAGTGGCATTTCTGGCATTGAGAGACTCCTGAAATCTGTCCTTGAGTATTCTCTGCCATCCTTATCATGAACCACTATTCTCCATGAAGCCATACAACTCAGCTTCAAACATCCTGGGGAAGTGGGTTCACCAACTTGCCAAAAGGCCTGGGGAGGGAGTATATGCCTAAGCTGTTTCTTTAAACTTTCCTCACCTGAGGACAGGTAAGGTTTAGGCAAGAATTATAGCTGAAGATGAAGTTCAAAGGTTAACTTTCAAAGCAGGTCCTGATCTAATTCATGGTTACCCTTGTTCTGGGCATGTCATGGGAAGAACAGTGGAAGATTCAAGTAGCAAAACAAGGCTTAGAATGGAAGGTGAGAGTGTTAAGCCTCTAAAGACCCCAGAACGTGGAAAGGATGGCTGCAGCGGATCTCCCTGTTTCTCTGGCCATCCTCCTGAATCCCTGTGCCCACCTAATAGTGGATTGGAAGACAGAAGGGAAGATCTAAACGAATGCCCATTATCTTATACCCTCCACTTCAGGGATCACAGGCTCTCATTTTTCCTTCTGTATTACCTCCTTCCATCAGCATTTAACCGTGTTCAAAATTTCCTATCTTGAAAAGCATCTCCATTATTGAGCTCCAGTGACCCTCATTCCTCAGCCTCACGGATGAATCTCTTGAAGAACCTCCCCTGCCTCAGCCCACACTTCTCAATCTACTGCACTCTGGCTTTAGTCCTCATCAGTTTCCCTCGGTGCTCATTGAGGTCATCAATTACTAGTGCATTGCTAAGTCCAGCAGCCATTCCTCATTCTCTATCGACTTGGTGTCTCAAAAGCATTTTACCCTATTCTCTACTCTCCCCACCTGGAAACACACTTTACCCAGGATTCCCATGATAACAAACTCCCAGGTTTCCTCCACCTCTTGGACCACTATTCTCAGTTTGTTTTGCAGAGTCCCCTTCTCCCCTACTTTCTAGACTCCCTTTCTCTTGCTTGGCAATTGCATTGCTTCACTTATCATCCATTCCATATGCTTATGAATCCAAAAGTTTTATCTGTCTTTTCTGAGCTACAGACCTAACTCTGCTGAGTACAGGACTGCTCAGAGCAGGTTTGGACACCAGTGAATATAATGAGGAAGGGGGCGGGCGGGGGGAATATCAGAGACAAACCAGGTAAATGTTTTTATTGATTTCAGAGAGGAAGGGAGCGGGAGAGAGAGATAGAAACATCAATGATGAGAGAGAATCATTGATCAGCTGCCTCTTGCATGTCGAACACTGGGTATTGGCCCCACACTGGGGATCGAGCCCATAACCCAGGCATATGCCCTTACTGGGAATTGAACCGTGACCTTCTTCTGGTTTATAGGTAGACACTCAACCACTGATCTACCCTGGCTGGGCCAGGTAAAATTTTTGACATGGAATTTGCCATAGGACCCCTTCCAAAATGCCCAAGTAACTTATATGGTTTCTCTGCCCCATCTCTTTAGCTCCCAGCTGAACAGCTCTACTTGGCTGTCCCTCAGTCTTCTCAAATGTTACCATTTTTTAAATCTAAAAGTAATTTCATTATTTCCTTCTCCTATTCCCCACCCTACTTCTTTCAAGTATATTCTTGTATAGTAAATGGCACCACAATGCAACCAGAAACTTGGGGTGAACTAACTCTTCTCCCTCAATCATATATCCAAAGAATCTCTAAGTTCTGCGAGGCACCCTTGGACATTCACCTACTTTTTTCCTTTGTCACTGCCACCGCCCTATTTCAGGCTGCCATCTCCCTTTACTTGTCTAAGAGTAGCTTTTCATTGGCCTCCCTGCATCCAGAATTGCCCTCTTCTGCATTCTGCATATTGAAGCCAGAGTGATTGACCTAAAACAACTACTGGTCTAAAAACATTTGATTTTGCCAACCTCTTACTTCAAACCTTTCCCTGACTCTCTACAGGCCTTCCAATAATAATCAGATTCCTTCTCCAGGTTAAGGAGAAGTAGCACAGTGAACTATATAGCCCATCTCTTCTACCTTGAAGGTGCTCAGGAACCAGCTCTGGGTCTTTGTAAAAACGCAGGTTCTGTAGATCTGGGTTGTGTTGGCGCCTGTGTTTTTACATTTGTAATAAGCTCCCAGATGATGCTGATAATACTGCACATGGATCATACTTTTTATGCCAAATTGGCTGAAGCTCAAATCTCAGTTGTGTTACTCACTAAGTCTGGGAACTTAGAAAGGTCACTAGCCTCTGTGTCTAGTTTTCCTTGTATATAAAGTGATCATAATGGTGTACCTTCTTAGGTTTGTTTTGAAAAATAAACATGTTATATTAAAATTACTTGCAACAGAGTGTTACCAGTAAGTGCTAGTTATTATTACTAGTTAAGATCTTGAGTAATTTAGCCTCTACATCTTTTTCCAAGCCACACACACACACACAGTCTACTAATTAATAGAAATAAATGCATTCCATTATCAAAAATCCACCTGGGAAACTGATACATGAAATCCAAAAATCTTATAAACTATAACCTAAAGAAAAAATAGGTAACAAGATAAATTCCCAAAAGCATTTAAAACAAGAATTAATGGTTATTCTGATCAACGTAATTAGAATATTTATTGTTGTTTGTTTTATTAGCCAAGAGCTTAGAAATGATGCTATTCATTCCTTCATTTTATTTTTGTTAAGTTTTAAACTACAGAGCTAGCACAATCAGAGAATCACTTAACATCCTGGTTAGGGGCGATCAGGCTGGCAAGCAGAGGGGTTAGGGGCAATCAGGCAGGCAGGCCAGCAGTTAGGAGCCAGCAGTCCCGGATTGCGAGAGGGATGTCCAACTGCTGGTAGGATGGGGCCTAAACCAGCAGTCGGACATCCCCTAAGGGGTCCCAGATTACAGAGGGTGCAGGCTGAGCTAAAGGACCCCCCCCCCCATGTATGAATTTCATGCACCAGGCCTCTCTATATATATCAGTCTCTCTTTCTTCTCCCTTCCCCCCACTTATACAGTACAACTGACTAAAGAATAAAACCAACTTTATTGGAACAGGTATGTGGTTTTGAAAGTTCCAATTAGTCATGTGCCCCTCCTTTCAGAGTTCTAAGACAATTGCAAAATAGACACAGGTGTCATATCTGGATCAATTTGTCATCAATTGTATTATTGTTAAAGCTGAATTGGAAAACAAAGCCTTTTCTAAAGACTGTACCACCCAGCCTGATCCCAGGTGTGTGTGTGAGGAGGGTGGGGGGGTGGGGGGAGTAGATCAACTTGGACCCCTGCAGCACTCCTTCCAGGGGTGGGCAGCTGCAGGGGGCACCCTCCAGGGAGGGGAGCAGAGTTTTGGGCCCTGCGCTAGCATTTCCACTGAAGTGAGGG